GGGAAATCTAGGTTGAAATGGCTGGATTTTGGGCTTTCCTGCCTATGTTACTGATTGATTGCATATTAAAACGGCTAGTTAGATTCATGGTGTACTGATGCAGCTTGCAGAGGTTTCAACCATCTATGTCTGAATCTGATTGTCCTAACTCCTGCTGTTCTCAGAACACAGAGTATGGTCATGTTATAGCTAAAGGCTGCTCTGAAAGGATCTTGAAACCATGCTGACTTTAAACTTTTAATAAAAGGAACAAAACTGGTTAGTATTGCTTGTTAGTCTGCTACATTCTGTGTTAGTCTGCTACATTCTGTGTATCTTCTCTGCTCACATGGGGGTGGAGGGGTGACTAAGAGTGATTTGTATTAGGGATGTGAGCACATAGCTGTTTAAATGGGTAATTGATAAGCTCATACTTATTGGTTACCCAAACCGCTACATGCGGCTTCCGGTCTGGCTCCTGGGGAGCTGTCTGCCACCCTGCGCTGCTGCCTCTTTATCAGAGGCAGCAGCGTGGGGCAGCAGGCAGGAGCCGGTACACCCGGGGAGCCAGCTTAAAAGCTGGCTCCCGGTGCCACTGGCTCCTGGGGAGTCAACCGCCTGTTGCCCAGTGTTGCTCCCTCTGTATCAGAGGCAGCAGCGTGGGGCAGCAGCCGGCTCCTGGTGTTTAGCTCTATTATTGTATTAAGTGGGTCTTGGCTGATGAAGGGCAGTAGTGTGGTGCTTAAATGCTAAACACAGTCAGTATCTATGTTCATAGTGCAATGCTGGCTGGCAGGTAACAGCCTCCCAAAGCACGCTGATATCTGAGCCCCTCCCCCTCGTCAGTGGGTCACAGTGCAGAATATAGTGACACAGCCATTGTCTGTAAATAGTTGACAGTATAATCTAAGATGAAAACCTACAGGACCAACTCAAGTAGCAGCTGCCAGGCAGCTCAGTGGTGGAGAGGCTGAACAGCTACTCCTAAATAGTGTTGAGTATTTCAGGAATCCTAGCCTTCTGAGAGAGCTGGCAGTGCAGCTGGGCCGCATGGCATGGGGCTAGCTGTATCATGATGTGTGGGCTGTTCCAAAGATGTGGGAGAAGGCTCCAAAGAGAGTACTGAAGCAAATTTCGTTGCCAGGGCAGTGGAAGCATTGGCAGTGGAGGTTGGTTTTGGAGAGGTAGACCAGAGCAGAGCTGTGCAGAAATTGAGCATGCTGACACTGCAGCTGGGAGCGATGATTCCCCACACGGACCCCCTCACTAGCTCTGCATGCTGAAAATAGTAATATAGTAGGTGCTGCCTGGACGGAAGTTTGGACTAGCCTCCCCGCCTGAAGTTCAAGCCCACCCAACCCCGTTGGCAATGACTCGCACTAGCCTGTGTCACAACACCTGCAGTGCTATTTTTCGCCTGCTAGCTTGAGGTGAGCTAGTGCAAGTCTGTCTAGCAGGGCTGGGAATTGTGCTTCCCTCAGATGTACCCTGAACTCAGGATGAGGCGCTTGAAATGATTGGGCCAAGGGCAATCCCAATGAATGACTGCAAACTATTTGATGTGGAGAGAGTGGTGGGCAGAGAAGATGACTTTGTATTCTGCCCATGAAGCTAGCAAGGGGGCAGTAGGGATGTTGGAGAAAGGGATGAGACTTGGGTGACCCTTTTTGCTGCAGGTCTAAATCCGTGTGCTTGTTTTCCCATGGATGATTTCCTTTTGCTGCTTGCTGTGGGCTCTTCAAACGCTCTGACAGAAGATGAGTTAATCCCTTTCAAATAACATAATTGGCTGTGGATCACAACTGACCTTCCTGATCTGATCAGTTTGGGTTTGAGATCCAGAAGGTGCTGACCTAAAATTGTGTGTGACCTGATCCAAGTCGGTTAATCTAGGTGGGAGTGTGGATAAGGAGCAGCAATTTCTTAACCTCCTGTATCCATCACATTGGAGTATAGATAGGTCTTTGCCTCAGCACGCCTTTGAAGGCCTGTGTAGGGAGGAATTAAGCCTTCCGTGGTGTTAATGGTCCTGGAGTTTCTAGGTCCTGGAGCTGTGAATGATCTGTTGGAGTAAATGTTTGGGGGGGGGGGGGGAATATTCGAAGTCCTGCTGCTTTTTCAGTTTGAGAAGCAGTTGCATGTGAGATCTGCAGTAAGTGTGGTGTTACTGCAACCTCAGACATGTGGGATAACGCTGCCGGAGCCACTGCTGCACCGATCCCCTTGCCTGCAAGCCTTGAGCTTCAGGTGGCTGTTTGGTAATGATGCCCTTTGGAAGGTGTCAAATAGCTGACAAAATTCCCAGCAAACTTTAAAATTGGCTTCTAATGCTAAGCTAGTCTGCACAGCTCCACCCATGCTGAGGGCTCTGCTCTGTTCCTGATTTACTGCCCGGTCACAGGACACTTCATGCCCAGAAAGACTCAGTGGCTCTAGCAATTAGAAGGGGAATACCCAGGTTACTAGTTCTCATTCAAGATGATAGGGACTGAGTCATGGTCATCTGTCTCTTCGGTGGCCTGGGCAATGAATAAATGGGTATACACGTCATGCTAACCACTACGGTGAGTGAGCGCTTGGGCTTGGAAAAACCTCCTTGCAGATGGTGAGTAGGAATTCTGGCTGAGTGGGGCTAGGGGGGTAGACTCCTCCCACAGAGTGGAGCCTGGCTTGAGCAACTGGAACAGAACGTTTCGGTAGGACAGGAAGGAGAGGATTCGAGGGCCTGTGTACAATGGAAGAATTTGGAAAACAAGCCCTATGTGCCCTGGAGAGCAGCAGCCTTCTTCCTACCATCCCTAGAGAGCAGGCTGGGAAGATGGGCTCTGCAGGAGGGTGGGATAGGTGGCATGCATGAGTTTAGGCAGTAGCAGCACATGAATATTTTGCCAGGGCTGATAGGAATTGGGGCAGGTTTTCAAGGCCTGATGAACCTCCTTGTTAGCAGTCTCAGCAGAGACGTTGGGCGTAGGGCAGGCAGTGAGATTGAACTCAGCTCTCCAGGGTTGGTTTGGTGGTAGGATGAACTGTTATTGGCTATATCCAGTCTGCCCTGTGGATATGGTCTTCAGGACTTCTCCCAACACTTCACATGTATTTGTTCCAGGAAAGAATCAACCTGCTAGTAAGCAGTGCCCACTTACATCACTAACTGTTGTGGTGCGTGTCCAAGGTAACACACGAGTGAGATGATGGGTAAAAGCAAAGAGTTGTTAAAGGCCGTTATCAGTTAAAGTTCAGTGAGGCCCAACTGCCAGTTATTACCAGAAGAACAGGGATCTGCTGTCTGTTTCTGGCCAGTCAATGAGGAGCTGTTTTGCAAATCTTTGTTTTGAAACTCTAAATCCATGTTTAAGTCTTACACTTACTGACTGGAAAAGACCTCCTGTTAGATAGCTGTATGGACTTTGCAGGGCGACGGAGCATAGAGCAGCTGGATGCTGTGGTGTTGGCATTATGTGACTTGTAGAAGGCGAGGATGCAGTCGAGTTCCACTCCGAGATACATTGGAGTGTAATTGTGTTGTGGTAAAAATGTGCAGAAAGCTACTTTGTGTGTTTTTTGACCCTCTTATTCTCAAGCTGAAATGCGCTCACTGTTTTCCCCCAGGGTTTGGCGTGTGCCTCCATTTCCAGAAATAGTGTTCCAAGTTCTGAAGATCCTCCGTTATTGCTTTCTCAGTGTCATGGAGGTTCGATGCTTGGATTGTCAAGCAAGGCTGTCTGCATAGCCAAATGTTCATGATTTAGTTGGAGGCATGTCACTTACATAAATACTGAAAAGGGTTGGCACAAGCACAGAGCCTTGTGATAGCTTATTGTTTGATGTCTAGTCTTATTACCCAGGTAACCCACAGGAGTCTGTTACTTAGCCTGCTCCACCACAGGCAACGTGTTTGGAAGCAAGATAGGCTGAAAACTGCTGAAGTTATTAGGCCCTTACTCCATACAGTATTCTACACAGATGACACGTTAACAAATACTGTGCTGGTCTTTTGCTAGCCAGCCTCAACGTGAGCAGTGAGTGCTAGAACTTGGTCACAAATGCTGTGTTTTGTCTGGAAGCCTGCCTGTTTCACTGGGATAATTGGCTCAATAAAAGGGCCTATTTTTGTGAGGATGATACGTTCAAGAAGTGTATAGGTCATGCATAGCAGAGAGACTGGCCTGTAGCTTCCCATTTCATCAAGGGGCCTGCCAGGCTTTGGAAAGACAATTACCATTGCCTCACACCGTATTATTCTTAAGGCATAGGCACAGGAATGAGGGGGGGGGGGTGCTGCAGCACCCCTGTGCTCCCAGTCTAGCACCTGAGGTCCCAGCTGCTGTCCCCACATGCCAGGTTCTTGGCTGCTGGCTCCAAGTGCTGGGGTCTTGCTCTCTGCCTTAGCTGGGGGTGGGGTGGACAGGGGCAGAGGGGCTCAGCATCTCCAGTGTTTCTGCGCTACTGCCTTAGATTAGCAGAATACAGTGTTGTGATCCATTGGAGTCCTTTGGGGCCCAGATGGTGGAGGTATTCTGATGGAAAACCATTAGGGCCTGCAGCCTTCCCTTCTCCCACCATCGCAAGTCCTTTTGCTTGGTCAGTGCTCACAGTGGAAGGGTCTCCTCAGAGGATCAATGCAAGTGTTGGGTAGAGTTGTTGATGCACCTCTCTTCTTGCTTATCAACTGGGCTCTGTGCTCTCCCCCAGTTTAGAGGCTGTTGAGTGTGACTGGAGTTTTGGTGGCGAGTACTCTGTGGGATAGCAGCGTCTGGGCTTGATGGCTTGAATGTGCAAAATCAAGGTTTTGCACGTGGTCACGCCTGTGCGGGCATCTTGCTGTGTCAAGGGAGTATCACAGGGCTTTTGCAGTGTGAGAGCTCCTGATTGGATTGGATTGGAAGAGTAACTCCTGCATCTCTCACCTTGAGAAGGCAGCTGCACAGATAAAAACAAGAGCCAACATACTCTATTAACTAGTAGGTACAGCCTGGGGTGTGTCAACATCTGTGGTGAAAACCATCGGCAATAGCATTTGCATATTCACTAGCCTAATACTGTGCATGGATATGAAGGAGATGCAGCCACACGACTTGTAGAAACCCAGCTGAATATAATGATATTGACTCCCATGAGGTTGACATCCATGCCATGGCTACCTGTCCTAACTTTGCTTCTCTGCCAGTGCTTTGAACTTCTGCAACTTGCTGTGAAACTCAGTGAATCCAGGAAAACAGATGTCTACCTAGTCACCAAGATCGTGACCGCTTCCCTCCATCCTCACGACATTAAGAGTCCCACAAGCCTTTCTGTTTGGCCTCATGAAATCTGGCTATGATCAGCAGGAGTCTTGAAAAGCAGATTGGACTAAATGACTTAAAAAATAAACGCCTTTTGCCAGTTCCCACGCAGACGGTTCCTTGGTCAACTGAACCGAAATCGAACCAGGCCTGTGTAAATGAGGATATCTAATGCACAGATGGAAAATCAAGGACTCCGCAGTATGCGAGTCCCCACTTCAGATCGTCGAATATGTCACTAGGTACTGCCCAATTTATAAATATAAAGAAAGCATTATTGCAATACATTTTGCTATTCCTGATGGAGCCATTTGGCTTGATCAACTTGAGAGGAAATTGTAATTGCTGCTTTACATCAGCCATGTGAAGAAGGAAGACAACTTGTAGAGGGAGTATGTTTGATTTGTCGGTCCCAGAAACCTAACACACACTATAAAAATGCACTGGGGGGATTCCAGGCATAGTGGTACTTCCAACTGAATTACAGTACTTATGCAGCTCTGAAATGTTTGTTTGAAAGATGTGAAATCATTCCTCATTCTAATAAATGTTGCAGATTGCAAGTGAGTCTTGCAGCAAGGGGGAGTGGAGTGGGAGATGAACTTTGGGGTCAAAATAATACATTCAAAGCACAGTTTGCTGTACCTGGTGGTGGTGTCTATTGTACTTCCTTGCAAATCAAATCGGGGGGGGGGGGGGTAGAGGAAATAGTTCTACAATAAGCTCTTTGGGCCCTGTATTGCCAGTGTTCAATGTCAATAGCAATAGAAAAACTTAAAAAACAAATAGTCTAGTAGCACCTTAAAGACCAACAAAACATATAGGTGGTATCATGAGCTTTCATGGGCACAAGTTTGTTCATACTGGTATGTCTTGCTGCATTAAAACCCAACCAAACAGCTATTAACTACAGTTGGCCCTGAATTCATAGTGGTGAAAGGAGGAATTTGAGGGGCATCAGACCACGTGAATTTTGAGACTTCTGCATGGGGCTTTCTGTTCATTGGAAGCAATGGGAGAAAGGAACTGAAACTAGGAGTTCGTGACTCACTGGGTTAGGTCTCTTCCCGCTCTGTATAAATGAACTATTGATTGTCTTCTGGACAGGTCAACGGGCATGATGAACTTTTCCAAGCTACCCAAAATCCGAGATGAAGACCGGGAGAGTGTGTTTGGCTATGTCCATGGAGTCTCAGGACCTGGTAGGTGCTCTTTGGTTCATGGGTTCAACTTTGTATTACGAAAACAGTTTCATGGATCTTTACATCCTCTGGGTGAAAGCTCAGTGAAGCTTTTCAAAAGTCATTAATTGTTCCCACACATACACTCTGCTTTGCACAGAGCTCTCAATTTAGTATGAGCTCACACTCATGGTCAGTGTCAGCAAGATGTTCTTATGTATTAGTCTTATATATTATAATCAGCCATGGTGAATGCCTCTTCACCCTTGTGTAGAGTGGGCATTGTATTGCAGAGAGCAGGACAGCTTTAGGAATCTCTTAAACATAAGTCATGTTTCTTTTATAAGCCAGCGTATAACTATTTTAGTTAGTCTGTCGTTTCAGTTAGTGAGGTAGCTTAGGGCCAAAATGTAATCTGCTTCAATATAGTTCTAATCGGGTGGCGAAGGCTCTACCAGTTGTAAAGATCTGTTTAAATGATCCATTGCTTTTCCTGCAAAATCTAATCTATCAAATATTAATAGTAACATTAACATTAAAATGGCACCGTTCCTGCCCCAGCATGCTCCATAAGTGAAATAATACAGCAGATGGTCCAGTGTCAGGATGTTGGGGGTGTCTTCTCTTCCCCTCTCCCCCCAGCAAGAGGTGAATGTGCTTCCGATGAACTTTGCAGAAGCAGTATCTTTTTAGCAGGGATTTGGGAGGATAGTCATTTAGGCTCTTAAACCTTCTTAGTTTCATGCTTAGTACAGGGCATATCCTGGATAAGAATTACAGCTTTCTGTAGATTACTAAATTCTGATGGTGGTGCGCCCTAGGCCCCAGAGAGACGGGGGAATAAGCATACGGCAGTTTCATTTTGGCTCAGAAGCTCTGCCACTGTCTCTTTGACAGGACCTACTTACTATCATAGACTGTGTACCAGGCCTGTGGGTTCCAGTGCTCTACGTTCACTTCTTGTCTGAAGAAATCTGGTAATGCAGCAGAAAAATAGCCTAACTCAAGTGTGTCTGTCTTTCAGTGGTCACTGCCTGCAACATGGCAGGTGCAGCTATGTATGAATTGGTACGAGTTGGCCACTGTGAGCTGGTAGGAGAAATTATCCGACTGGAGGGTGATATGGCCACTATCCAGGTGTATGAAGAAACCTGTATCCTTCTCATTGGTGTCTTTGAGGCCTGTCAAACTAAGTCATCCTAAAAGGTAGGATGACCAGTACAGTAGAGCGAATAAATCTTAGTGGGCCCCTATCAGTGGTCATGGGCAGAAACCAAATCTGTTCTTGATTTCTTATACAGGTTTTGATGGAGTTTGTATAAAAAGTACACGGTGGCAATGTAATTGTCATATTACCAGGATTGTGCAGTCTTCAAAGCATGCAGTTGCTTTTGTAAGACTTGCATCCATGAAGGGAACTCTCTCTCGGCTCCCAGCTCCTCGGCCATCAGTTCTCTTAGACAGAAACCTGTGTCCCTCTCTGGACAGGAGGGAGTCTTTCCAGGCTGCATAGTTCCTTGTCTACATTGCACGCTCCCCAGTAAGCCAAGCTGCCTGAATAGGCCCAGTGTCTGGGTTTTGCTTCTTTTTCAGAGGCTATGAACAGAATAACTGCCAGTAGTTAACAAGTTACCATGCGGCTCTTTGTAAACAAGCAAGTCAGTCTTTCAAAACCCACAGCTGGACTTTTCCCATCCTTACAAGTCCATAACTATGTGAGACTGAGACCCAGAACTCAATCGGGACAGATCAGCCTGTTTCCTTTACTGCTCAGGCCTTTGATCGCCAGCCTGCAGTAACAGCAGAATGCCACCTCTCCTCAGATGTAGCTTCAAAAGGCTGGGATTTCGCCTGACTGGAGGTGGGGAATGTGGATTAACTTTTCTGTCGATTCAGAGGGGTAGCTCTGTTTAAGGTTTTTTGTTTTTTGTTTTTTTTCCTGTAGCTATTTCCCCAGAAATCTACTTAACTGTCCCAAAAGTTCATTCCTGCCTTGCTCAGTGCAGTCCTTTAAACTCCCATGCCGAGAGTTTTCATACAAGCCCAATAAGGTTTTTCGAGGATATTGAAGGAAATTACCATTTTCTCGGATCTTCTTAAAGCTCAATCCTGATTTAGTGTCAAACTTCAGATACACTTGAACTTGGTAACCGCATGGTGCGAGGGACTATTTATTCATTGACTAATACAAATGACACACACCAGAGTTACTGAGCAAATCCAGTTTTTGTATGGGTTTCTTCCCCTTTTTTTAAAAAAAGTGTGTACTATAAAACATCCTAATACCGCTTTAAAACTGGGAAGGATTCATCCTTTGACTGGATTCAGATTTCTCTGCTAAACACAAGCATATTGCACATGTATCTTTTGGAAACCCATATTGTTGATCCAAACATGCTTGCTACAAAAATGAACTGTCTAGTACTGGTAATAGATACATGATGTTGGAGAATGAGGGAGACTATCCAGGAGGGAGTCTGTAAGCTTGGAGTTAGCCTCAATGTCTCCATCCCTGTGCAAAAGTACAAGTTAAATAGAAAATAGATCTCTTGCTGGCGGACTCAGCGGGTTAATTTCACACTGGAAGAGCCCTTATACAGCCCTCCTCACCACAGAATGTAAGCACAGGAGTGGCCAAACTTACTGACCTGACCCTCTGAGCTGCATACAATAATATCCAGAAGTTTGTGAGCCACAAGACACGCACAACTTGCCCTGTGGGATGGCCCCTGCTGAAATGTGAGGGTTTTGTCCTGTCCCCTGCCCTCCCTCCTGGGGCTCCTTCAGACCAGTCTAATAGGTGACGGATGGGTGCTTGGGGGGGCTCCGGGATAAGGATGTTAAATTGCGTTGAATCAGTTAATCGAGTAGTCAATGGCATTTCCATCGGCTGGTTGATAAGGGGGAAAACTGCAGAGCCACAGCAGGATTAGTTCCTGGCCCCGGGAGCTAACCCAATTGCAGCTCTGCCTTTTAAATGTAGTAAGAGTCACCCGGCTCTTTACTACAGTTAAGAGGAAGAGACACAGAGGGAGGCCGGATGTGAGCTGGGACTCAGCTGTCCCAGCTCTTGCCCAGTCCCAGATGCTGTGCCTCTGCCTTCCCTGCCCTCCTGTGGAGATGGTGCTGGGAGGAACCGGCTTTTAAGCCAGCTCCCCCTAACACCACTCCTTCCCCCTCCCCCCACACACACACTGATAGAGGCAGCATGGGGGGGCAGGCATAGGAGAAGCGACTAGTCGTAGTTACTCCACTGGTTGTTTACATCCCTGCTCTGGGAGCCCATTTTAAATGTAAAAAGAGCCCTACGTGACTCATGGGCTATAGTTTGACCATGCCTGCTCTACTATAGCACATTAAATGGCAACTGTAACCTGTGACTCATTCTCTTTTCCTCGCCCCAGGAGGTGCCAGTCGCATGAGGCTCTTTAGAGATGAGCTAGCTTTTTATCTGTTCTCTCCAACTCTAAATATGGCCGTGGGTTTCCAGTAAACTTTTCCATTTCGTAGCTGGGGACTAGTGATCACAAGGGAAAATAGTTAGTCTCTGCTCCCTGGTGAGTAAAAATATCACAGTCTTACTTAATCCAGACTGAATGTTTATCTCCTTTGCGACAGAGTGCATTGCATAAGGGGGGCAACTGAATTGGTGAGACAAAATGTTTTTTGGTAAATGTGTGGATGAGCTTTTCCTGAACAGGCCTCTTTAGCTGGTGTCTCGGTAGGAGATCCTGTACTCCGCACTGGCAAACCTCTCTCAGTGGAACTTGGCCCTGGCATTATGGGGGCCATTTTTGATGGTATCCAGAGGCCTCTGACAGACATCAGCGCTCAGACCCAAAGTATCTACATCCCCAGAGGTGTCAACGTGTCAGCTCTGAGCAAAGACCTCAAATGGGACTTTACGCCTTTCAAAAACCTGCGGGTAGGCTCCGACAAAGCTGCCGAAAATCCCCCAGGAGCATTGCAGGGTGGGGGAGAATGTGCGGAGGGGTGGAATTGTGAGTTGCGTTTTCCGATACCGTGAGTCTGTGAACAGCAGGCGCTTGAGCGGGGTGTAGTGATGGATTAAAGCACAGGGACAATGAAAGAGCAGGTGGGGAATGTTTGTACCAATGATGTGATGCTAGGTGCCACTGTTTGTAAATACAGTGGTACCTATTAATGGAATGCTTTTACAGTGCAGTAAAGAGAGTTTATGGGAGCACATTGAGCATAGCAAGTAGCACCCGTTTTCTGGGAGAGGGTGGTGTACTTCTAGCCAAGATATTTTGTCGACCCTGA